TGAGTACATGGACCCTTAGGGTTACCAATAGCTCTCCGAGCTGCCGGTCCACTCGGAGCTGAAAGCCCTCTGCGGCCTCTGCCAAGAGATACATGGGCTTAGCTGTAAGGAGGCGTGGTTTAGGGGCCTTAATTATTCGAATGTTTTTTTTTTTTGGGGGGGGGGGCCCACTATACTATACTTTTTTTTTTATCAGAACCCCAAAATGGTATTGGTAATTATTTTGGTCCCTATATTAGCGTTAAGAGGGTGTAGGATAGGGCCTTAGACTGCTGATTGTTTCAGGGTCGAATTAGGAGCCCTTTTCGGGGTCAAACATTTCGCGAGCCCCGCAGGCCAGGTCGCCGCTTTAGAATAAGGATACACCTTTTTTCCGACTGTTCAGTTCGGGGTTTAGGGTTTAGGGTGTAGGGGAAGGAGACCCTAAACCCTAAACCCTAAACCCCAAAATAACATGGGCAAAAGGCTACTACCGGGAGAGTAAAAAAAGGAAACAGCGCTGCCTCGCCGGCGAATTCATCCTGCGTCTTTGGGATTTAAGGTGTGCGGGCTTCGGGCTCATTAGAGCGGTTGAGGCAGGTGTTCATGTTGTCAGGCTCTGGATGTCGCTCAGCTGAGGATTTACGGAAGTTGGAGCTTGGGATTTGGGCTTTGCATGGCTCAACTGATGAGGTTTCGAAGGAAAGAAACAGTCAGCTGCTGTTCCGTTGATGCTTCGTCCAAAGTCCGACGGCGTGCCACGGCTTGGAGGTCGCAGGGGCTTTGGAGGTGGGGTTTAGGGTTTAGGGCCCCTAAACCCTCAAAGCCCTAAGCACTGAAGCCCGGAGCCCTAGAGCGTGAAGCTGGGAGAGGAGTTTAGTTTGGTTGCAACTTCCAGGCAGTCACCCAGAGAGACCAAGACCCCCTCTGGTTCAGGGTTTGGGGTCAGCGATGTACCGTTCGATGCCCTTTCGAAAGTTGGAAGGCTTCCAATGGTCCACAGTTCAGCGACTGCCTCAAAGTTGGAAACTCTGGGTCCTCATGCCCTGGAGCAAACGAGCGGTAAAATACTAAGACGGTGTCGGATAGTACGATGTATCATGGTATGATAAAATAGAGTGCACAACATAGCAACGAATACACTTACATGTGTATCTATCTGTCTATCTATCTATCTATCTATCTATCTATCTATCTATTTATATATATATATATGTGTATACTATACGTATATGTAAGATAGCACTTGGGGGAGTATCGGCACGAGCCATCCGTTTCCCTATGAACGTTCCGACTCTTCCGGGGTTTACTGTACAGCCCTGTGACTTGTACAGTCTGTGAGGTGCTCCTTGAGTTAATCCTACTTAGGGGCTTATAGGGTTTAGGGTTTAGGGTTGAGTTAATCTTACTTAGGGGCTTATAGGGTTTAGGGTTTAGGGTTGAGTTAATCCTGCTTAGGGGCTGAGTACCCCAGCCCAAAAAAGGTTAACCTTACTAATTATGGTAGGAGTATATATGAACCCCAAAAGGTTAGAGGTGTAATTATGGTAGGTTTATATAAACCCCAAAGGTTTTAGGTTGCCTACTCAGCCACTAAACCTAAACGAACCTTATGCTGCCAACAGGGCGGTCAGCCAATACATGGGTAACTGGGCTTCCTGGGCTCTCTGGGAACTGTGAATGCAAGACGCGTGAGGCACACGACTGCATTTGATGTATGCTTTAGCGCGAAACTCCAAACCCTAATGCAGTGTCGGACGGCAGCCTGAATATGAAACCCGTTGAAACCCCAAACCCGCAATCCTCCGGTAGATCCACCGGAAATACGCGTTGTGCCTGCAAGCCGCCGGCAACATACGGACTCAAAGACAAACACACAAACACACACACACACACACGCACACACGCACGCACACACAATATATGTGTATGTTTGTATAGCATAATGATGTAGTAAAAAACATAGCAATACAATACAGTACACCATAACATAAGATATTACAGTATGGTCTCATGAGATGTTATAAGTTTGGGCTGTAAAACAGAACAGACTATAACATTACATAATAGAAACTAATGTAACCTTGCTACCATATAATATACAGTAACTTAGCATGTTATAAGATCATGCAGAATATCATACTATACTATACTATACTGTACTATTTTATAGCGAAACAACATAAAATGCGTAACATATCATGGTACATTATGACACATTAGACGATAATGCAACAGAATAGGAAACTAGAATAGAACATAACATAGTTTAGAGCGTAGAATGTGGTATACTAGATCTTCTATTAGAATGTACAACATCAAATAATATAATGATATGATATGTTATAGAAAATGAGGCAATAGAATGTATAGCATGCCGTACTATATAATACACAACAATCGAATGTAAACTTTACCTGTGTATATGTATATGTATACATCCATGCTTCCTGATGATTAAGTAACGTCATGTTCTGATATAACATATAATTACGTAATTTGTTCCATTTCACTAAATTGAGTCATGTATCAGCATGTGTGTGTGTGTATGTGAATACAAAAAAATGAAGCATAAAATCCTGAACCTGAACGCCTGAACACTGACTTGTCAAAATTGCCAGGTTTAACGTTGAGTTAGCAACCTCAACCCTAAACCCGCAAGAAGCAGGATCCTGACACAAAAATCCCAGTCCCTCCAACTTGCCAGAGGCGACCTTTCATCTGCAAGATTCTGTTTGTGCTTAGGGCCGGGGTTTAGGGTTTAGGGTTTAGGGTTTAGGGGTTTAGGGTTTAGGGCAGAATGCCCTGAAATCCAAAAGCCCTGACCTTTATAGGCATCCGCGACAACTGTATCTCGCTGCGCAAACGGGCAGAAGGACACAACGAGGTCTTATATTGAAGCCTGAAGCCCAAGGGCTTCAACACACCGAAGACCAGACACAACTTCCTGCCGCCATAGCGTTGATGCAGCAGCAGTGGTACTTGCAGTGGTCACTTGACTGATTGCAAGAAAAACGGCAGTGCTAGTGAATTGAGAAAGGAGTCATGACACACTCAGCAGTCATGCTTCGGATAAAGAACATCATCACAGTCAACGTCTTTATCACCAACCCTAAACCCTAAACCCTAAAACCTAAAACCTAAACCCTAAACCATAACTGTCATCATGGGCAGCCTTCAACACAACTTGCACAAGGGAGATCCTGCCCTTCCGGGAGACGGCCGTGTACCGGGCACAGATCAACATCATTACTTGGAGGATCATGGGACT